TGGGCCGATCTGACGGTCACGGTTGTCCAAGAGTGTTTGAATTTTAATTTTTTTTTTACATATATGAATGATCTGAAATTTGGAGCGTGTGTATATCTTAGTGAGGCGCACCTAATAAAAATATAAAATTAATAATTCACAAAAACAAAATTGATCAAAATACCCCTAAAACTTTTTTGGGGTATTTTGGTCAATTTATTTCATGTAAAATATTTTTTTGATATTTTTTGTAGGTACACCTATTTTTTATGAATATACGTTCCAAATTTTAGATCATTTTGATTTTTATAAAAAAATAAAAAATAAAACACTACTAGACATCTGTGATCATCAGATCGGCCCAGATTCGATCTGGGCCGTTTGGTGTTTACTGTAGCGGTACACGAATCGGCATACCGTCCCATATATATATATATATAGTTTATTCTATTGTGACACTATAAAAAAGCAATACATGTAAATTTTAAATATTTTTTACCAAACTTATATTTTTTTTTGATAATTTTTACATCCATTCCATTTTGGAGTATAAACTTGGCACTAATCGGCCGATTAACTCAGAATCAGACCGAATAATTAGTCGGGACCTAGCCAACTAGTCGGCCTGACTCGTTCTTTTGAACACTAGAAATTGGATGGCTACATGTTTTCCATTGATCAAGCTTAAACGTCAAAAGAAATTTTCTCGAACTTTGTGACACACCCAAGTTATCAGATTTCACTACGGTTATAAATATTTGTGATCTTATTGTATCCAATTTAAACAGTTTCATTGTATACAATTCCTTTTGATTATTTATTATTTTTTTAGTACTGCACAATTCAGTCATGGCCAGTGGACTGGTCGGTATAATGAACTAGTTGGTCCACTGATCCATGACTAGTTTTTAATAGTCCCACTGGTGTAGTAACTTGAATGAGTACCAGTTCGCCGGTTGCTCTGGACCATGAGACTGAACCTCATGCAAGGACGATAGTTTAAAAAACGGAAAACAGTTTCATGTGGCCTGGACCGCATTTCTACGTCTACGGTCCAGGTAGTATAAAGCATCCATCTTTAAAATGGATGCAAGTAGGTGTTCCATCCAAAAACAATAAAAACTAACGTTTCAAATGTTTTATGGAAAATTGTCTCATGCAGGCTGGACTGCATAACTATATATGCGGTCAAAAAAGTGTAAAGCATAACGATGGATGCAAGTAGGTGTTCCACCTAAAAACAATGGAAACTAATGTACAAAATGTTTTCTTGCTAAAATTATTATTTTACTTTTTAAATTTATTTATTTTTGCATATTCATGATCTCTGTGTTAGAGATTACATGTCCTTAAAAATGAAGTAAAAAAATCCATCTAAAAATTACAGTTATTAATAGGCCCGCATTTCTACACATGCGGGCTTGGATGCATAGAAATCGGATCATGTTTTATTACTAGAATTATTAATTTTAGCTTCTAAAATTTATTTATTTATTCATATTCATGATCTCCATGATAGAAATTACATGTCTTAAAAAATTAAGTCCTAAAATCCATCTCAAAAATAGATTTATTGAGAGGCCTGCATTTCTACATATGCGGGCTTGGAGCATAGAAATCGGTTCCTAAACATATAAGGCCCGTTTGGATAGAAAGAAATTAGGAATGTTAGATATTTGAAATCCAAGAAAATCTATGGATTTTTAATATTAAAGATTTCTTTCATGGATTCATCAAATATCATGTTTGGATAAACCATACAAAATTCATGGATTCTTTGCAATCACTTTCATGTCCATTGTTTATTAACAAAACTTGATACAATTTCTCTCTCTAAAATTTTTGTATACTCTCTCTCTTTCTTTAAAACTCAAAATTTAGGATAGTGTATCTATAAAAAATTTGAGATAATTTATCTCTCTAAAATTTGATGTGGTTTATCTCTCTAAAATTTAATATACTTTCTATCCAAAATTTAAATTTGAAACTGTCAATCTAAAAATTTTGAGATAATTTCTCTCTCTAAAATTTTTAGGTGTTTTACTCTCTCCAAAATTTAATATAGTTTCTCTTTCTAAAATTTTAAGATTCTCTCTAAAACTTAAAACTTGAGATAGTTCCCCTCTTCAATAATTTCGAAATAGTTTATCTCTCTAAATATTTTTAAGTAATTTCGCTATCTAAAATATGATATAGTTGTTCTCTCAAATTTTAAGATACTTTATCTTTCTAAAAGCTAAAATTTGAGATAATTTCTCCCTAAAAATTTTGCGATGGTTTATTTTTCTAAAAAAATTTATGTACTTTCTCTCTCTAAATTTTGATGTAGTTATTCTCTTAAATTTTTAGATGTTTTCTCTCTCTAAAACTTCAAGTTTGATATAGTATCTCTCTCTAAAATTTTGAAATAGTTTCTCTATTGAAAATTTGATAGAGTGTCTCTCTAAAATTTGATATACTTCCTCTCTCAAGTTTAAAAATTTGAGATACTTTCTCTCTCTAAAACATAAATTTTGTGATAGTTTATCTCTCCAAAAATTTTGAGATGGTTTCTATCTCTAAATTTTTTTAGGTAGTTTCTCTCTCTAAAATTTGATATAATTTTTATCTTTGCAATTTTAATATATTTTCTCTCTCTAAAATACCAAATTCGATATAATTTCTCTCTAAAACTAAAAAATTGAGATAGTTTTTCTCACTAAAAAATGAGATATTTCTCTCTCTAATTTTTTTTTGCCAGTTTCTCTTTCTAGAATTTATAATAGTTTATCTTTAAAAGTTTAATATTACTTTCTCTCTCTACAATTTTAAAAATACTTAAGACTTGATATAATTTCTATGTCTAAAAATTAAAATATGAGATTATTTCTCTCTCTAAAACTTTTGAAATAGTTTCTCTCTCTAAAAAATTGAAATCGTTTTTCTCTCTAAAAATTTGCATGTATTTTCTCTCTCTAAAATATGATAGTTTCTCTCTCTAAATTTTTGTTGATATCCTCTCTAAAATTTTTTGGTGCTCTCTTTTTAAAATTTTAACATACTTTCTCTCTCTAAATGTTAAAATTTGATATAGTTTTTCTCTCTAACATTTTGAGATAGTTCATCTCTATGAAAAATTTGGTACTTTCTCTCTCTAAAATTTTAACGGATTTTCTCTCTCTAAAATTTTAACATATTTTCTCTCTCTAAAAGTTAAATTTTGAGATAGTTTATCTTTTTAAAATTTTGAGATAGTTCATCTCTCTAAAAAAAGATTGGTACTTTTTCTTTCTGAATTTTAACATACTTTCCCTCTCTAAAAGTTAAAAATAGATAGAGTTTCTCTCTCTAAAAATTTATCTCTAAAAATTTAGGTATTTCTCTCTCTAAGATTTTCATACTTATCAAATGCTCTCTATGTTTCGGATCGAGGGAGCCAATGAGTGAAATCCAAGGGCCTTAGAAAAAAAAACAGGTTTTGTTATGGAAATGAAATTATGAAAAAATAGGTCTAATTTCCATAATTTTAATTTTCCTGATTTTAATTATTGTAAGCATTAACTAATACAATGAATTTTGACAAAATCGAAGATATTAAGAATCCATGCCTAAAAATCGATGTGGTCCCCAGGAAGCATGGCGAGAAATATCAAGCACTTCCTTGTATAGTTGAGCGGCCAAGGAGTTCTCAACAAAACATCAACTTGTGGGCGCGACGGATCGTGATGGATCAACACAAGGTCTATCGTGATGGATCAACACAAGGTCTAGGCGCGATGTTTCATATATCATAATGGATCAATCCCAACATTGTTAGACTCTGGTGAGAGAGCGCACCGATTCCGTTGGTGTTCTAAATTCTAATAAATCAAATAATTAATAAAATTATTAAAACAAAAAGATAGGTAAAAATATGGACAAATTAGAAATTTTTAAAAATAAATAAAGATATGGATGGTATGTTATGGAGAAAATAATGTATATATCTATTATATTCAACGTTATTAAGGGTTGTTGTGAAGTTTTCATTATTACATGTCTATGTTTTTTAACTTCATAACATTTGTTTTGAAAGATGGAACTATCTTTTTCAGTTTTGAAAAAACCAAAAACTATTTCTGGAAAAATAGACAGATTTTTTATATTTAAAAAATTAAAATTATCGTGTTTTTGGTTTTTCAAAAACTAAACATTAGATATTTTTGTTTTTTTAAAAGTTAAAAATTACTTTTTATTTTCTAGTAACTTAGAGCGTAGGACCGGGGCAAACTTTGATAAAAAAAAAAAAAAATTACAAAAATCCTCAAAAGACTTTTAACGCACTTTACCCATCCAACTTTTTCTAGCAAATACCTCATACAAAATTTCAATTTTTTTTTTTTACAAAAATGCCTTTATGTTAACTAATAAATTATTTTCGTTGGGGTGGGCAGTTTGGCATTTTGAACATGCCGTTTGACAATTATTTTTGCTGCAATGGCCGGTCCCGCGTTTCATGGTGGCAGTCTAAGTGGCAGTCCGGCGTTTTGAAGAGGCAGTATGGGCATTTTGAAGTGAGCAATCGAGGAATGTAGACTTGCGATCCGATGTTTTTTTTTATTGGAATCCGAAAATGATTTGTTAAAAAAAGTTTGGGTAGGGTAAAGTGCGTAAAAAATCTTGAGTTTTTTTCTTTTTAATTTTGTAAAACAAATGTGAGGGTCACTGAAGATTCGGATAAGGAGCCATACCGATTACGGTATAAAAACTGGTACGTAAATTTCGCCTAAAAAAGGAATCGAGCTTCATTAATGTTTTCTTTTTACTGTCACTTGATAAATTACGAAGAACGGAAAATGTAGCCATCCCAGTCAAGTAAACGTCGCCATCTAACCATCCAATTCCTGATGCAAAAAAATTTAATAAAAAAAAGAAGAAAAGTTTGTCCGAATAATAATTTTATATAACACATCAAGGATCGGTTTTCATGGAAATCAGGCCTCACCTATTTGCGCTCCCATCACGTAAATTTCCATATTCAGTTAGGGATTATCGTTTTAACAGGTTAGAGGACGCTAAGCTAAATCTTTATTTGCAGCTCTCTCTCCCCATCTGCTTTATCCAATCCTCCCAATTTTTTATTTTTTGGTAAACAGTATTGTATCTCAATTTAACATCTTTATATTGTTTACATTTTTCCTCTTTTGTTTTTCTTTTGGGTTTCCATGCTTTTCTATGGCTTGAAAGTGCTGCTGTATTCTGAATAATCTCTTTTGCATTTTTTTTTTCCTATATCATGCTTACTTTAATTGCAATGGGAATCATTGAATTTCTTATGGCTTTAGTGTACCAATTCTTGAAACTGAAGCCCTGTCTATGCATTTCTACTCTGGTAGCTGCATATTAGTCGATTCCTTGTTATTTTCTATAACTTCATGGAATTTTTTTTTCTCCGCCCAATTTATTGAGGTTGCTTGGTTTAGTCTAAGAAACCCAAAATTTGGGCCTTTTTTTGTTTTTTTTTATTTGTTTGCATCGACGGTTTATGTCATTATGGTTTTCTTTTTAATAAACTTGTTTGTGATGTTTAAGATCATGCAGTAATTCAAAAACCAAAGCTTTTCTCTAATCTACTTGATGCCCAAAAGGCTAAAACTAGCCTTATGGTGGAAGCTAGTTTCGTAATTCCATGTCCTCTTCTGAGATTTTTTTGTCATTCATTTTAGTGACATAACATCGAGTTTGCTTTAATTATCCTTTCATCACTAATGGCAGTGGGAAAACACTTAAATTTCTTGTGCATGCTGCCGGTTTAAAATTTGAATGGTTTGAGTTTTTAACAAAGAACATCTTTTGAGATTTTTCATAAGAGTAGTGAATGGTTTGAAACTTTGAACTTTTAACAAATAACATCTTTTGAGATTTTTCACAAGAATAGTGAAGATCCAATTGCCAGGTAATTCACATGGCACGTTGTTCAAAAAAAGAAAAAAATGTTTTCATACAAACAACTTGATGTAGGAATCTTTGCCTGGAACTTGTTCAGAGCGAATAAATGATAAAGCTGTAATGTTGTCCTCAAATATCCGAAAATGTATTTATGTTATTCTTCCTCTGCGTTGGAAAATTCTGATCAAAATTGTTAATTAATCATCAGGCATGGTTTTGGGTGGTGATTGTGTCAGGTTAATGTTTCTGTATTGATGGTAATAGAGCCCTACTATAATTCGAATCTGCCAAATTAATTATCATGTGAGCCCCATATAACATGGACATGATGGATGGGGAAGAATTTATTGATGATTTGAACTATGCAAGGAGCTCAATTGAAAAGGAATTTGATATCCATGATTGTGATCGACCCACTCAACTGGGTCGTGGTACTCAAGCGCATCTTGGACAATTCCCTGTCCTTGACAATGAAATAGCACATAGCATCAAAGTTAGATCCAAACCAAGTGACATGATAAGTAGGATTACGCGTGCGAAGGCCAGCACCTATGTTTCGACTGTAAAAATGCTTCTTGGAAGGGAATCTAATTATTCTGGAAAAGGGAGGTTCTCTTCAGCAGATTGTTGCCATGTACTTAGTAGATATGTTCCTGTTAATGGCCCCTGGATCATTGACAAGACAGAAAGCAGGGCATATACTTCACAATTTTCGGCTGATGGTACCTTTTTCATTACCGGGTTTCAGGTATCGTGCTAATTTTTCTTACTTCTGATTCCCGTACAGACACTTTTTGTTCTGTAATTTATTTTTACTTTTACTTTTTCTTGAGTTCAAGGTGCTCAGTCTCATTTCCTTCATGATTCTTACAGGATAGGAACATAAGAATCTATGATGTCGATAATGGATGGAAAGTTCAGAAGGATATCCGTGCGAAGAATCTGTCTTGGACTATTACTGATACATCCCTTTCCCCTGACCAACGTTTTCTTGTAAGTTTGTGGTTAGCACTCTGCTGAAAATGATCAATATATGCACAATATCTCTCAGTAGACAACTAATACGCATAGTGGAAGATTAAACTGTTTTATATTTTGTTATAGTTGTTGGCCACTTTGATTATATGAATACCTCGATGGACTAGTTTATCAAATCTTCAAGTGGTTTCAGATGAATGGTTAATTTGTGGGGTTTAATTGTTCATCTTTAGTTAAAAAAAAAAACTTTTTTGAATTTTTCATAATTTATTTCCCATATTTTGTCTTTAACAATCTTTAACAACTTTTTCTTTAATGGCAGGTTTATTCTAGCATGTCACCTATTGTTCATATTGTCAATGTGGGGACTCCTGGAACACTGTCAATTGCAAATGTCAATGTATGTAACATGCTTTCTCCATTGATCTCCATCTTTGCATAATATGAAAGATTACTTCTTCTCACTGCAAATTCTATAAATTACTATAAAGACCATGCGAAGGCCACAAATTTTTGATTCGTTGGTCATTTGACTCTATAAAATATCTTCAGATTTCAAATTCTAACATGCAATATGTGCAATGGAAAGTCCCATATTTATGCCTTTACAGTTCCACTTTATTAGAAAGATATTACTTTGTGCCTTTTGGTGTGTGATTTTGAAGCTGCTTGCACACTGATAATTATTCTTCTAGCATTTCTTTAACTGGAAACTATAGAATCTTTTTTAGAATTAAATGAAACTCCAATGAGATCATGACTGGAATCCATGTCCAAGTTTAGTTGGCTGGACTTGTAAAGGGTTTATTTGACAAGTATGGCTTTATTCTTTAACGGGGATGACTTATCTTGGCACTGGTCAAGAGTTCATGTTCCCGAAGAACTCAGTGGTATGGTAGGTTTTGGGTTGAGTTCGAAACTTTTGGCAGATCAGTTTGGAGGTCTTGGTGTTTTGAGAAAGAATCCAACTTTGTTAATTCCTGAGTTTCGGGAGCCTAAGGGTAGACTAGGTAGCTTATAGTGCTTGTTCTATTGAGAACCACAATCAATGTAAAATGAATCCTACGGAACCTAAATGCAGGGCTTGGAACCGCATTTTAAGAAAAAACAATTCTGTGACTCAACAGCGACAATATCTAGGGAATGAGATGCCTATTCAGAAAGGCAATGTGATGTGGGCTTATCATATTGTGCATCTAGGAACATAAATCATGAAAAACTTAGGCCATGAGAAACACCTGGGCAATGATTTTCCATTTTGAATCACTTGGAAAACTTCGAGAGACTATCAACTTTGGGAGTGGTATGCCACTCAGTGGAAGATCCACACGACTATTGTCAGAATGTGATGCCCTTAGCTTCCCAATCCAATGAGGAGCAAATCAGAATATATACATTTGACTCCTCGGAGATTTACATGAGGCATGTTGATTCTTGTGAATCTAATTAGAGGGTATAGTAGGGCTTTATAGGTCAGATAAGGAAACACAGATTGAATCCTTGACTGGAATTCAAGTGAATCTAGGTATAAATACCGCAGATCTTACGATTTTCCGTGAATGTTCTATCATGCAAACACAACTAACATAGGCAGAAAATTCTCTATCGTGTTTTATTTTGCAGGATTTTTTTTATAATTTCTTGCCTTGAGGATCACATTATACTTCATCAGATTAGTGATTACCTCTACAGGAGATTCATGAAGAATTAGACTTCTCTGGCAATGCTGATGGGGGGCGCCGATTTTCAATCTTCTCTGTCAATTTTTCTTCTGATGGGAGGAAGCTTGTAGCGGGAAGTAATGATCACTGCCTGTATATTTATGATATGGAAGCAAATAAACCCACATTGCGAATTTTAGCACACGAGGTATCACTTTTAACTTTATTATGTAAGTTCTTCATAAATTGACAAATGAAGTGTATGATACATGCATACCATGTATTTTTTATAGTTCTGTGTATGGCTAGAAATGTGTCATTAAGTTCGCACAAGCACGCATATGTGTGTATGATGCGGATCCTCTCTGGGTCTTCCCAATCTTATGGTTTTCCATACTTTCTACTTTTTGCTCCTGATCATGTTTCTTCTCTTGCATCAGACCTATAAAGTTGTATGTAGTATGGGGGAGGTCGCGAGAAAGGGGAGGTGAAAGTTTCATCTAGGACTTTGGGGGGCTTAAGGGTGAATTGATAATAGTGGTGTGAATACTAGGATAGGTGGGGGTGGAACTAGATTTGATTTTCTCCTAAGCTCTTTGTTACACTGAATATTGTTTTGATCATACTTTCTCAGGTTTGTTGGTGTTAGGGATAAGGAGGTCTGGGTTTGGGAGTTTTTTGAAAGGTGGGAGTGGTGGTGTAGTGTCTGAGATTTGGTTATTTTTGCAAGGGTAAGTTATTGTACAACCTTTCTTGTTTTGCAAAAACATACAATGAAGAGCTTCAGGTGCAAACTTGTATGCTGGGGCTCTTTTTTTAAACGTATGCTTGCTTATCAATTTCCTTAAGACCTTCATGAGTTGACAAGGTGATGTGTGGTCTTGGGAGAATTGATGAATTGAAGTAATATAATGTATATTACTATTGCTATTCTGTCAATATGTGATGTTTAATTCATTATTTTGCACTCAATACTGGTGATTGTATTTTGAATTATCACAGCTTTGTTAGTCTGTGACCAGGATTCTTGATCTTATCAGCTTGTGAAATACTAAATCTTGTTTATTTTCAGGATGATGTAAAATCTTATCAGCTTGTGAAATACTAAATCTTGTTTATTTTCAGGATGATGTAAATACTGTATCATTTGCTGATGAAAGCGGCAATCTTATATATTCTGGGAGTGATGATAGCTTTTGTAAGGTAAAATCTGGATTATCTTGTTTGTTTGGTGAGAAAAGAAATAAAAGAGATATTTATAAATCCTTTTGTCAGCATCAAAGACTTGAGTATAGTAGTTGTAGTTATTTTCTTTTTTATCATTAAAGTAAGTTGCGATTGTTAATATGAGAACTATGTGAAGGATGTGAGTTGCTTGAATTGGGATCTCTCTTTCTCATGATGTTCTGACATTAGATAAGCTATCTTATCATGTTAGCCTTCGTATACCAATGAGACACATGGCTGATGCAAATTTTTCTTCTAATATCATTTGTAATTGAATGTTTTCATAGAGCATCTAGCATCCATTTTCCCACTTGAGACTGCCTCTTCATACAGGCTGCTAGGAAACATGTCACACCTAGTGGTGGAGAGAATTGAGTCTAGGTTAATGCTTGAAATGGGAAATATATTTCCAAGGAATCAAACTTGACATGTATGAATATTGTGTTTGAGGCCTTGGCCTTTTTCTTGGGTCGGTAGAAGTCTAGTGCCTAGATTACGGATGCATGATCACACTTAATGGGCTTGTAGCTCAGATATATTATCTTCAAAAGTGGAATAAGTTACCATATTATCAGTACTCTTCTTCTGATTGATGGTTTGTGATCCTTTGGATGAGATTCATTTCAGTTCTCATGAAGTTGTCTAATTCGCTGAACATTGCAAAAAGTCTTTTGAATCTAATTTTTAGTGTCGTGGTAGTATCATATGAGAATATCCTCGGGATTTATTTCAGGTTTGGGACATGCGTTGCACTTTATCAGGAGACCGTCCATCTGGGGTCTTGGTTGGGCATTTAGAAGGCATCACATTCCTTGATAGCCGCAGGGATGGCCACTACTTTATCTCAAATGGTAAAGATCAAACCACAAAACTCTGGGATATCCGGAAGATGGCATCCAGCATCAGGCGGTATGCATTATCTCCTAACATGACAATTTCATGCTTTACATTAATTGAAATGGTAATTGTCACTGGTTGAAAGTTATGGGCTAAAGTAACATGGTCGCCATGATATTACGGTGCTTGAATACTTAATTATGTGTGTGCATGTTGGCAAGGAACATCTGAAGTGGATATGCGATTCATCGAAATATTATATATCTGTAAGATATTTAATAAATTTGCAGGACGCCTCTGATCACACCACTCTCTCAAAAGGAATTCAAAATTGCAAGGATTTATGAAATATTTTTTACTCTGATTAATATATGTAAATTCCCAATCGATGAAATCAGGTTTTCTGTATATAGTAACATTATGAAGCAAAAACTGCCACTTTCTTCTTACATATTTTGTAAGTCTTACAACCAATTGTTGTCCTTCGACAAGATTCAGACTCTGTAATTGACTATATCTGCTTAACTATTGGTTCTGTGAACCATTGAATTCCAAAATTCAGTGCCTCATCTAAAAACAGATGTTGCATTCATTAACTATGAGTTGAAAAATCTATTGTTAAATTGAATTTCATAGACCCCATCCGATCTTTGAGCTAGGATGAAATGAGGAAATAGCCTCAATCTTTCAATTCATCTGTGGTTTTTATCCATGAATGACATTTTCTTAGAACTGTGACAAGTTTAGTGAACCTGTGAGTTGTTTCCTAATCAGGCCTTCATCATTGTGCAGCCGCCGAAGAAAATTTTCTTACAGTGAGTGGGATTACCGATGGATGGACTACCCTGCCCACAGGAAAGATGTAAAACATCCAAATGATCAATCCGTGGCTACATACAGAGGCCATAGTGTCTTGCGCACCCTCATACGATGCTACTTTTCTCCGGCTTCCAGGTATGTGATATGACGTACTCTTTTGATCTCCCTTCTACATAGATATGATTGACGAATATGTAAATGTATCCACATTTCCTCTTTCACATCCGTTTTTCAACTAGCTTCTGAAGCTAATAAACATCAATGAATATATGAATAATGTCAAATGTAGCTTTTGTGTTGGGAATCACTTATAGCTCATTTCTGCATATGGATTTATATATAAATACGAATCTGCGATGTTACTCTGTCGTGTAGATATTCAGTAGTGCTGATAAGTGGCTTTTGAAGTCTATAGCCTATATTATTTGTGATATGGTATGCTGAAATCGTGCTATTGTAGTGTGGTTGGTAACTTCTTTTCATCTCTTTTCACAGCACTGGTCAGAAGTACATCTATACAGGATCCAATGATGGATGCGTTTACATATATGATGTGGTACGTATTACATGCATGGGAAAGTATTAACCATCATGAATGGTGGACAATACTCTGCAATGCCATCCACCATCGCCTAATTATCTGCACAGATGGTGGAGATGTGCCCTAGTTTATATGGTGAAAGCTCACCATGGGACTGCAGTTCATCTCCACTGTTCATCTTGAGAAAGATGGTGGATTCCATGCCTGTGTTGTATAGCATAAGTGAGATGCCTATCACGTATGCACATTATTGTTTAGGCCCTGTTTGGATGGCCTTTTTTTCTGTTTAGCAAAAACATTTCTCCTAGATTTGCGCCAAATTGGCTGGCATGCCACAATTAGTGGGCACAACTCTGGAATGGAACCCCATTTAACAGCCAAACGCTGCCAATAGTGTGGTTCTTCCATTTTGATAAAAAAGGTTACCTATTTTACCACCAATAGTAGAAAATGACGGTAAAGATTTTGCTAGTAACCATCATTCTTGGGTGCTTACTTTCATGCTTGCCCCTAAAGATAGGGCATGGGCTTGAGTAGTTAGCAGTTAACATTAACAACAATACATCCCAAGTTTGAACTACCCGCGCCCCCACAAAACAAAAAGAAAAAAGGAGGCAGGTAAAGATGAGGGGCTGGGGTATGGCTTCAGTACATGCAAACGAGGCCTTAGTCTCAGTTTCCCTGAACCAGATGTTTTCTTTGTCTCAATGATGCCACCTCATGAGACCTGCTTGATTATGACTGCACTTTTTTTTGGTCAAGTAATTATGAATGCCTTTAACAATGGATATCAGATAAGTGGAGCTCTGGTCGGAAAAACTGCATATCATGATACAACTGTAAGAGATTGCAGCTGGCATCCTCATTTCCCTATGCTAATCAGTTCGGGATGGGATGGCATAGTTGCCGGCTGGGAAATTTCAGAGAGAGATCAAATGAATCGAAAGAAGTCACAGCATAAGAAATAGAGGCTACTTATCCCATATATATGGAGTTAGTTACAGGCATTTGGGCATGGGAGCTATTGATGGTTTAGATATCTCGGCATTTCATGGCTGGAGTTACAAAAGAAAATCGTGACCATCCTTTCAAATTGTGCATTTTCCTTGTGATTTATCTGGTGTACATAGGTGGAGGAATTACGTGAACTTGTATGGGAGGATCAAGATTTGTAGAGGGTACAACTGCCTCTTATGGTCCATCTTTCACTTATGTTGCTATAAATATGAGGGGATCGAGATTCTAAAGGTTGCAACTGCTCCTTCTGTTCCATCTTTTACTTGTGTTGCTACAAATTAAATAAAGTTTGAATGTCCAATATGGCTATGGAATGAACAATGCCTTTAAGGAATGCAATAATACTACTTTGGTTAATAGCTAGCCTGAATATGGTGCAAAATAGTGGGAACTACATGATAATTTTCAGACCTCTCTCTCTTTCTCTCTCATGTTGTTTTTGAGAATGGGAAATAATTTTTTTTTAAAAAGATGCCTTCGTTATATATGTGAAGATTGTACAATTTTTTGAGTTTTAACGTAGTCTTCAGGTTCTACCCGGATAGGTGGGGTGGAGCGCCCACCCTACATATCTATGTTGGATCGGCGATTTCGATCGGTTTCAATTAGTGATCCATAATTTTTTTTTAAAAAAAAAAATTTAAAAGAAGAAGTATGCAATGAGACCATTTATGTTTGGTACACAATGGTCATAATTTATCTTGACCATTGGATGTGAATTTAGGTGGCTGCATTTATTTCATTGACTTGACTTAAAAGTCAAATGTTTTTTTTTTCAAACTTCGTGACATATTTAAGCCATCAAATTTCTATCGGATGATTATAAATAATTGTCACCTGGTCTCATAGTGTGTACAATCTCAAATAAAACTAGGGCTTTATGGGGGTGGGGATTAAGGTGGTAACTAAAATAACACTAGATCATTATCATCAAACCCTTTTCAAACTACTTGAGATCAGATACACAAATTCTGGTCCTTCATTATATTCTATCAATAGTCATACCTTTCATAGGGTCATAACTTCCAATATCTTTTCTCACTACTTCCAATCATGTCTTTTGGGTATGTCCTTTACACTTTCTAGCCTTTCACTTGAACTAACTCGCACTTCATTACAATTTGCATTGTACATGGCTAGCCTACCTAAGTTTATTTCATCTTAATAGAATTCAGTATAATAGAGTATTTTTTATTATACAATATTCAATAAATCAAATATTTAATTACTATAATATTTCTAATATACAAATAATTTTTATTCTATCATTTTAGATGATATCATCATCACTCAAGACTTATACCAATTACTTGGGGTCAGGTACATGAATCATTTTCCTCAATCTTCTCTATTAAGGGGCATACCTAAGATCAAAAGTCACCATATATTTTCCCTCTCCTTCTACCCATTTTCTTTTGGGCATTCTCCTCGTCCTTTTAGAGCCTTCCACTTGAATTAAATCGCACCTCCTAACCGGTGTTGTATTAAGTCTACAATACATATGGCCAGCCCACCTAAGTCTACTACTTTCGTTCATCTTATCGCCTATGGAAGCTACACCTAAGCTCCCTCGTATATAATATTTTTAAATTCTATCATTTCTTGTCTTGCCACTTATCCATCTCAGCTATGCTTATCCTATGGATATGTTGTTTATTGACTGTTCAACATTTCGTCCCATTAAGCATGGCTGGTTTTACAATTGTCTTATAAAACTTTCCCCTTAGTCTCAATGGTATGCAGCGATTACATTAAACTCTGGATGCATGTCTGCGCTTCACCCATTCATCTCTAATTTTATGTATGACATCATCTTCAATCTCTCTATTCTCTTGGATTATCAACCTAGATGTGTAAGTACACGCTTTTGTGACCTTTATTAGCCATTAAATTTAAAATTTAATCAATTTTTATTATATTTTATTTTATTTATTTTCTAATTTTGAAAAGAATATAGAAATATGCATATAATGATAGAATAGAAAACTAAATAGATAGTATACTCAGTTGGGCGTATATTATCTTTTATATTATAATCCTAGGTGGGGTTTTATTCGAGAGAGTAAATAAATAGTATACTATTAAAGGAGTATATTATCTTTTGGCTATGAAATATTTTTTGAAATACATGTTGCAAAAATACGTCTCTTTGGGCAAAGGCTTGATTTATTTAAAGTAATTTACATACATATCATTTTGAATTCCGTCCTTAAAAAGTCCATTTAAAAATTTGAATATTATGTTTATACCCATTTTTTGTTTTTTTGTTTTTCTTCCCAAATTGCTTTAACTTTTGAAAGTCCAAGGTTTCCCTTTTTTTTTTTTATCTTTTTTTAAAAACTTTGGATTTTCAAAATTTGAAGCTCAAAAACTTTGAATTTTGAAAACAAGTAACCCAAAGTACTATTTTGACTAATGTTTGAAAAGTCGACTTGGGGAATACTCGACCCATGCCCCAGCCAATTACTCGCATGAGTTTGAGTGAAACCAAACACTATAGCGGTTGAAAACTATTAAAAAAATATAAAAAACCCAAAAAATAGGAAAAACATATTCAAAGTAAAATTTAACAAAACACAACTACATTGTTAAAAAGGTAGCATAACAATAGATTTAAAAAAAGGGCCTGATTTGTACACGGCCAAGCCCCGCATAAGTAGAAATGTGGGCCTCTTAATAAATCTATTTTTCAGATGGATTTTAAGATTTAATTTTTGAGGACATATAATCTCTAACATGGAGATCATGAATATGAATAAATAAATAAAATTTAAAAACTAAAAGCAATAATTCTAGCAAGAAAACATTGGGACCGTTAGTTTCCATTGTTTTTAAATAGAACACCTACTTGCATCCATCTTTAAGATGGATGCTCTATACTCTATGGACTGCATATGTAGAAATGCAGTCCAGCCCGCATAAAACAAATTTATCTTAAAAAATAAGTTTGTGACTAGAGGTATTTTCAATTTTTTAAAAAATATAAAAAAAAATATTCACGACCAAAACACTTTTTAATTTTTGCCAAAATGATAAAAAACGTAAATAAACATGTTATAAATATATTTGTTATTTTTTAAAAAAAAATAATTTAAGATCCCATAGTTAAATCAAACAAGGGCCCTAGGCAGAGTAACTCCCGACTTTTGGAGCACTGCCATGTACTCTCTGTGGCCTCCAATAAGCTCACAAGCAAGCTTGTTGGATGCAAAGAAAACTTTGGACTTCAACTAATCCCAAGTTCATAGGACCTATGATTTTCAAAATCCAAAATAGTTTTAATAACCTCCAAAAAAAAAGAGTAAGCATTTTATTACAAATGTTAAACGACACCTTAAATATCAAATATCATCATTTCAAAAAAGTATAAAAAATTGGAGAAATTATGCGCCTCGATTGCTTATTTCTCTCTCGCATATTTCTTCTTCTCTAACTTTGTTTTCTTCTCTCTCTCTCTCTCTCTCTCTCTCTTAACTTTCTTTTCCTCACCTCTCTCTCCCCCCGTGGCATCTGTAATTTCGCGCCACATTTGCTTTTTTTTTAGCCTTTCCCTCTCTGCAACTCCCCTCTCTGCTTCACACTACCACTATACACAACAGAAGCCATGCCCCTCATCCTCTTGGATTAGATAGATGGTTTAGGGTGTCAACTCTGTTTAATTGATGGTTAGGGTTTCAACTATCTGGATGGGTTACTGTAAATGAGGGAGAGATGGAACACGAAGGGAGTATCGCGAAGTTCAGCAAAGATCCAGATGCTTTTGCTCGCATGGTAGCCAACCTCCGTGACCACAGTCATAAGTTAGAACAGGTAAGAAACTTCTTCGGCTTCCTTCTTTTACACTTGAATAAATTGTGAGATTTGTATGAATAAATCTGGTTAAACCGAATGTTTACTTATTGGAAACAAAGAAATGGACGACTTAATCTGATATTGCAATGAAAATAGCAAATGTTTATTTTTAAAGTTTTTTTTTTTTTGTTGGAGAACGGATCGATATTTTTTGTGAAAAACGATGATCATTTTTTTGTTCTGAACTTCTGATGAAGCAAACCACTGTGAAATAATGGATTCAATTTACCTTCTAACCCAGCTGTAACTTCTAACCCAATTTACCTTCTAACTTCTGAAAGATTTATTGATTTGATAGAATACGGGTAAGCAAGTGCTAAGTTATTTATATGCCATCTCGCAGGTTTTAAAATTGCCTCATTTGGGAAATTTATGCCATCTCTTATCAGAAGTATCTTTGTGCTTGTCGTTGCATCAATATGATTGCAAGAATACAATTTCCATTGATATATGGAACAAAGGGAGTCTAATTAGTATCAAATTCATTGATATCTTAAGTCTTTCTGATTTGCTATATGAAGAGATGTGCAGAAGGCTAGAACAGCTGTTCCATGCTCTTGGGCTTTTGCCAACAACTGTCTCTCCGGATCTTAATCAGCATTATCCAAATATTTCAAGCATCTCAGAATCTGTTCTGTTATTGAGATGTTGTGTAGTGATCTTACCATTGTTAGAATTCAATCAAAGTTTAGTCTTGGAGAAATCCCGAATTCTTGTTGCTGCACTTGGCAAACTTTGTGGTCCGGATTTGGTGTCGCTTGTAGCTTCTTGTAAGACAGGGGAACACATCAGCACCATGACCAGCTACTTTACGAGTTTTATTTCCAAAGAATGTGTTGTAGGTGATGATGGTGTGTTCAGCTCTCAATTGGAGGTCGATGCAAAGATATCATATACCTTTCAAGAAGCTTCTGGTTCATTGGTTCATCGGTTGTGCTCACTGCTTGAGGTATCTTCAAGGAGTTTGGTTCTACCAGCAAACATTATCGTGCATATTGGCATGTTTTTTTTTTATTAAACCCAGCCGCTTTCATGAACACAAAAGTATCAGTATCTTCTAGTCATGCTATTAGCAGCTGTAGAATCAATAAGTAAATCAATCTTCTATAACCAGTTGTGCAATACAGATGTCCTTGTGTATTTTATCGATATCTGGTATTCAAAGAGAAGGATATCTATTTTCTTTGCCACATCCAAGAATTATTGACGAAAGTATGAAAAATTTTATATCCCCATTCACCAAAGTAACAATGTTCTTGTAACTCATGCATCCTCATTTTTATTGCTAGTGGGTTGTCCTTTAATGCTCCTAATTGGGTCCATCATTAAAACTGCATTTACATATTGGTTTTTGGGTTCCTGTACATGTCATGTCTTATGCTTTATCATTTTTGGTGTGCAGCAATTGATTACATGGGTTACTTTTTCCATGCTTCACGTGCACCTTGACTACATGCGTACTTTTTCAGGCTGCACTTGCACCAGGACTACATGGTTTACTTTTTTCGGGCTTCACTTCTCAAAACTATCTAGTGTAAACCTATTCTGATCTTAGCTCTTCAGAATGACTTCGTAGGAAGGTAGTCAATTTCCCTAATGGGACTACCTCGTGTTTTTTTATTCCACAATTTTTGCTTAGTAAAGGATTGGAGTATTAGAGTAGATTTATCATAATCCTGTTGAAGTTTTTGCCATCATGCATAAAAATAAGGCTGGGTTTCTCTTTGCGTTGCAAGTGTACCCAACATATCTCAGACATATTTTTTGGATCTGGACTTTGTATCTTTGAAGTTACTCTGTTGCATAGGCCCTGGTTGGAAGCTGTATTGTTTTGTTTGTTTTTCAAGTAGTGTAAATAACTGCAAACAATGGCTTGATGCCTGCACCTAAATTAACATCAGGAAGCTATCTTTCTTTGCTGTTGTATAAAGAATCACATAATTCGAGAAAGCAGGTTGTGTTTGCTGTTCAAAGCACAGAAATCCTCCATTTGTAGCATGGGTTGAGCAATATCGAGTCAAGAATATGAATCAACATATTTGGTCAAAACTGTTACATTATTTCTCTTTTGCTTCTTGAAACACAGAAGCTGACATTTCCTATGGTTCTAGGCAATTTTATTTTTACCCATTGCTTCATTGCTTGCAAGGTAGTTGATGGTATTGACTTGGTAGCTGGCAAATCAAGTTGGCTCGGGCTGGTCCCAACTTGATTCGGCAGGTGGCAACCTGGGGATGTGCCACGTCTGATCTTGAGTAAGGGATTTTTCTTATATCTGTCAGGAGGTTAGACTCAGGACCCATTACTCGCCAAGCTTGCACTTAATGGCTCAGAGAACTGACCTGGATAGCTAGGTTATTTCTGTCGTTTAGGGGTTCCAAGACATCATTTTTACTAGACCTGAAGTGAACTTTGTCATGTGGACACATTTTATTCATTTATTTTTTCCTTTACTTCTCCCCCTCCTATCTTCGGAAAATCCATATTGTTTCGAATAACTATGATGACAGCCATTATGCATTAACTCACGCAAAAAAGGAAAGCCATTATTTATGGTGTAACTGGTGTATTAATCTCTTCAGGTTTTTGCTGATGAAATTTTGCTTCATCAAGATTTGAGGAAGTATCTTATGGCTGCAGATTCTGAATTGGACTTCGGTTCGGAAATGTTTGTGCACAATGCTACCTCTGAGGATGTTCACGGTGTGCTGGAAGTCATTTCTGCTCATTTTCTTTTGTCCATATGTAATGAGGCTGCCATGAACAAGTTTATTCACACAATATTCTGGTCAGACGAGTGGGATTTTAAGAGCCATGGCCTTAGCCATTGGGCAGTTATGACCTTGCTTGATCTTATGATCAATATTTCTTCACCCGATGTATTCCAGGCACATGTGTTTACTTTGATTACCCGATCCCTTGGTGTCCACTTCATTGATGTTGGCCTAAAAGTGGAGGAATTGAATGACTCTTATATAAAATTATTTGACTTATCGATTCAGCTTTACATGAGGCACATATCTGATGTGTATCCTTCTTACCCTTTTTTTCCAGTAAACTCTAATTCTGGTTCTAGTGGAGAAAGAAGTAGAAGAAAACCCGGAAGAAACTGTCGTGAACCTTTGCAATCTTTTATTCGGACTTTTATTAACAGGCAAATCAATTCTCAGATCCTCAAGTTTGTCGGTTTCTGCCAAAAATCCTTGAGCAATGAGTTGTCTCGAACTTCTTCTGATATGATGCTTGCATGTACTGAATACATCACAAAGAATGAACATGTTCTGGATGAGTCACACAGAGATGAAATTTGCTCCATATTAAAGTGTGTTGTTTTTAGATCCCTCTCTGGACCTAACAGGGTTAATGCTCAGTCAAGAGTGAAGGGAAGAAGTTACCACAAGGCTTGCCTTCTTGCTGCGATATTGAATGCAATGGGCTGTTCATTGCTGCAAATAATTAGGCTTATAAGGGGGAGCAGGAGTCTGGGTATTTTGAAAACGTTGAAAGACTATCCAATATGTAGAGAATTTGAGACTATAGCTGGTATTATTAGTCTCTTTGGTAACTACAAAGTTCGTCAGCCTATCGAAAGAATTCTCTATGATGTGATGGGAAGATATCCTGAGAGGCATAAGAGTACCAAGATCATGTTCATTCATTTTGTAGGTGTTCTTTCATTTTGTTTTGAGAAGGGACCAGAGATTTTATGGAAGCGGTGCATATTTATGTTGATGATACTGCTGAATCTTATGGTTTTTGAGGAGGGTAATATAGATGCATTAAAACCATTGCTTGAATCATTGAAGGATTATCTTTTTTCCCTGACTTCACAAAATAAAATCTCTCAGGTAAATTATATGGTTATACCGGGATTGAAATCATTCATCAATAATTGACCTTACTGTTTCATGAATCTTTTAACTTTTATGATTTTGTTCATAAGATTTGCCAATGCTGATTTTTGAAATTCAAACTAATGCTGCAGAATATTGTCCCTCGAGAATCGAGTCTGATAATTGCATCAAATTTGCAAAAGATTCAGATGCAGCACTTAGGAGAGAGATGCAAGTATTTAACCTATGGAACCAAAAAGTAAGTGAATCTTTCTTTTTGCTATATTTTGCTTATTATGGGAACAAGCCATGAGCGCCGTTCTTTTTCACTAGAACATCTTGGACTTTTAAATGTTAAAAGAATATATTGCAAATCAACATTAGCTGACTTGTCTTATGTGGGCTCTCATCTTAGAAAAACACCAATTGTAATCATGCATGTGCATTTTTATGAGCAATGATCCTATGAGACTCGCCCACACCCATGTGTGTAGGACCCCAAATAATCACCATTAAATTTGGCACAGATCTCTATAAAAGTTATCACATGGTCGTGGGACTTGACTTCTTTAGAGATCTATAGTGAATTTTTATAATTTTTTTAATATATTATTGATATGCTTCCTGCCTGTTAGACAATTTCATTGCCTTCAATTGGTTTACAGTTGCGTCGGGGCAAAGGCTGTTGATGTTCGTAATGGAGAAGCCTTTCTCAAATGTATCACTAACAAGCGAGAATTGGATCGTAATAAGATCTGTGATTATGATGACCTGAATGATTTTATCGTGTGCAAACCTGGAAAGGACTATTCCAGTTGGCTGAAGCATAGAAAGAGGTATAGAGAATGGAGATGTTCACGATATGCGATAGCGAGGAATGAAAGGAAAAGAAAGCTATGGAGATTATTGACTGGAGGCTTCCGCTCATAGAAATGTTTCATATGCAAGGATAAGAATCTGTCAAATTTGCAAGAGCTTGCATGGCTATGAATTACCTGACTGGAGTTTCCCAGAGGTTTATTTTATATGCTGTGGTAATTTGGGGTGTTATTTCAAGTGGGTGCCCGGTAAACCTCAGAAACTTGATCCTTATTAGTGATTTTTTATGAATTTTTTTTATTATCGATATGTTTGCTGCGTGTTTGGCAATTTCATTGGCTTCAATTGGTTTACAGTAGTACTGGGGCAAAGGCTGTTGATGTTTGTAATGGCGAAGACTTCACAAGCAAGCGAGGAACTCGTGATAAGCTTGGTGATTATGATGACCTAAATGTTTCGACGTATCGACGTATGCAAACGTGGGAATGATTATTCGAGTTAGCTAAAGCAGAGAAAGAGATAAAAGGAATAGAGACGTTTAGTATGCGAGGATCTGGAGGAAAAGAAGGCGTTGGAGGTTATTGACTAGCTTCAACTCAGACATATGTTTGAACATCAAGGGTAAGAATCTGTGGAAATTGCAAGGAGCCTTGGTATCACTCTTTGCATGGCTCTAAATTACCTGACCAGAGTTTCCTCAGAGGTTTATTTGACGTGCTGTGGAAATTTAAGGTATTATTTCAAGTGGGTGCCCTGTTAGACCTCAGAAACGTAATCCTCATTCATCGACTAACTTACGTCACTTGGAGCCGGGCCTGGATGCCTAACTCTGAAATTGGGATGAGCCTTCGAAATTTGTGCACTTTTATCAATAGTTGGCCGAGTCAAGCTCTCTGATATGGCCGAGTCGACCTGTGCCTCGGGCTTGGCTGGTGAATCAGAGCCCATGTCTGGGCTTTTACACAGGTGGCCTACAAATGAAAAATCCAGCCAAACTAGTTTTTTTTTTTTTCTGCAAAGGAGTAAGTGTACAGGACGCACCAGTGGGAGCACATTAAACTTGGTCAAATGTGCTGTGCACTTTGTATTTATTATATATATGGTTAGGGCATCACCATTTCCGCCATTCATTGAGGAGGCAGAAAGTCTATATGGACCACACGCACTATACAGTTATACACGACTAGCTTCAATAGGAAGCAAAAATAAGAGGGTCTTGAATGCAAAATCTCAGCTGCCCTGTCACAACACTATATTGAAACCAAAAGGTTTAAGGAAACATCAAAAAGAGATGTGGTTACGATTTCAGTTAAATAATTCCATAAAAAGAAAATGAACCTTCCCCATCAATGTCAGTCAAATCTGTAATTGGGACAAAAAGAGGGTAGCCCAACCATTATATCGTACCCACAGAAAATAAAAACTTGTTTCACCAAGAGGTAGAAGAGAGACCAACCAACTATTGTATTGTATTGTATTGTATTGTTAACAGTGCTTAACAATGCTTTGATCCCTACTGTTCAAACAAAAAAAAGACCTTGATCCAAGAGTGAGAGGAGGGAAGTCCTATCTTTCACAAAAAAAACTCTGCTCACAAAGAGCTAGAATAGAGAGAGAAACCAAGCAAGTAAGTATTCTATTTTTCAACAACGGTAAGAGAGAGAGGGAGAGTCAAGGGTACCACCTTGTTACCAAGGCAAGGGAGGCAGTAGCAGCAAAAACAGCAGTGGTGGCTGCAACAGGCCACCCCCATAAACCCCCCCTCTTCCCCTGCTCTGCCTTTTCCAATAACCCCTTCACCATCTCCACCTCCTCTCTCATCTCCTTCTCTCTCTCTGCTTTCCTCCTAAATGCCCCACATATCACTTCCAACTCCTCCTCAATGCCACCCATTTCCAGAGTCTCATCTCCCTCACCTGTTCTTCCATTCTCCTCCTTTTCATCACTCATAGACTCCATTGTACTGCTCTTGAGCTCCGAATAAACCCTCTTCAACATTGTCTCCAACGAATCGATGCGAAGGAGGAGGCCCTCTGATCGATCGGAGGACTCCTCCAAGCTCTTCTCAAGAGCTAATTTTTCCTCTTTCAATGAACCCAAGCTTGTTTCTTTCCCCTTAATCTCTTGGAGAAGCTGGCCATGCTTTAGATGCATCCTCTCTACTTCCTTCTCCATTGCTGAACTGTGCTCCTCCATGTCCTTGAGAGCAAGTTTCAGGCCTTGGGTACTGCAAAGAGACTTGTCTGTCGCCTCAAGGGCAAGTTTCAGCTCGTCCTGGAGCTTAGAGAGAGCTTTGCGTGAGTTTTCAAGCTCATATTTCACACCAGTGACGCCATCGAGCTTTTCCTTTATCTGGGCAATCATGGCATCTTTGCAAGCGTTAGCTTGCTCTAGGCTTCCTTTCTCTCTCATGAGCTCTTTCACCTTCGATTCGGATTCCGCAAGAGAGGATTCCATTTGTTTTTGCAGAATGGTTATCTCCTCTCTCACAGATTCCAAGCTCTTGTCCTTTGCCCCCATATCAATGAGGAGTTGGCTGTGCTTTTTCCTCATCCTCTCAAGCTCAAGCCCCAGCTCTGCTTTCTCTCTCTCCGACTCTCTGACACAAGATTGAAACCCCTCTGCTTCTTTTCTCCATTGGACATGCTCTACACTTCTTGCTACACTCTCCTGAAGAAACCGATCTCTAGCTTCTCGAGCAATACTCAGCTCATTTTGAAGCTGAGTTTGAGCTCCTTTGAGATCTTTGCAATGCTTCTGCATATTGATGCTAGCCATGTTGAACTTGCTAGCCTCTTCCTCGAATGCAGAGATCTTGCTCTCCTGATAAGCCTTTTCTTTCTCCCAGTTCTCTTTCTCTCTCATCAACCATTTCATCTTTGCATCAAACTGAGACATTGAACATTCCAGATTCTCCTGGAGAGCAGCTTTCTCCTCTGTCAAAGTCTCCAAGCTTCTCTCCTTCTCCTTCAACTTTTGGAGCAACTGCTCATGCTTCTGATTCATCTCTCCAAGCTTCTTCCTGTTTTGAGCATCACGTGTCTCCATCTCTGTAACAGAGCCTCTTAGGGTTTCTGCTTCCTCTTGTTTCAGGAAGAGCTCCCTTTGACAACATTCTCTATCTCTAACAAGCCGATCAGATTCAGCTTTAGCTCGATTGAGCTCAGCTTGGAGCTCATACTGCTCTTCCTTGAGGGCCTCCAATTGCTTCTGCAAATTATACTCCGAGGCCCTGAGCTGGGCAACGTTTTTCTCAATATCATCGATCTTTGCCTCATTGTAAACCCTAGTCCTCTCACTCTCTTCACTCTGTTTCTCAAGTGTTCTCACCCTGGATTGAGACACTGAAATCAAGGACTCGAGCCCTTGTTTCTCTCTCCTCCATGACTCTGAACCCTCAACCAGCCTTGCTCGAGCCTCTTTCAGGCTCTCGACCAAAGACGAACTGAGCTCCTCCTCCTCTTCAATGAACTTCTTCAATATCTCATCGTGCTCGGATAGCTGAGAAGAGAGGACGAGGATCCCTACGCTCCAGGAGAGCTCGGATTCGAGGTTTCTGCTGTCGTCCTGCTCCTTCATTGATCTCTGATAAGCAGCCTCAAGCCTTTGTTTCTCTGCTTCTACCCTTGAAATCTCCATTTCTAGGGTTTGCTTTGAGGTATTGAGAGAGGCGACCTGTTCTCTGAGCTCCATTGTTTGCTTCAATAGAAAGTTGTTGAGGCGTTTGAGATTGGCCTTCTCTTCCTCTTTATCAGCTTTAGTTTTTGGATTTGCGCCATTTTTCTCCTCTTTGGCATTGATGCTGACGGTTTGAGTTGCCACTTTCTTCTTTCCCATTCTTTCTTTCTGCAAAGAAAAATGAACAGTTGGGAAGCGGATAGTTATAAGCATAAACAACAACTCACCACCTCTTCTATTTCACTTAATTATAAGCATAAACAAGAACTCACCACCTGTTGTTGTTGAGAACTGAAGAACTCACCAACCACCCCTTGTTTTGAGAGAGGGAGAGGGAGAGGGAGAAAGAAGAGAGAATATGTGAAGAGAGGGGAAGAAAGGGTTTTATATTTATTTGCTTTGAGGCGCAGGTGGCCGTTAGAGAACGCGCGTTCCCAGGCACAAGTTACTAGAAGGAGAATCAGACGTCGTTTCAAATTTGAAACCGACGCAGCGCAGCGCAGCGCAGCGCAGCACAGCACAGCTGAGGAGATAATGAATGGATGGGTGCGGGTGCGGGTGCGGGTGCTCGTCCTTCTGCCTTCTCTTGTTTGCTTCGCCCATCCATTTTCTTTCTTATGCATCCCTCTCACTCAACGACCATAGAATTTTACTCACGTATGCCTTTTTTTTCTTCTTTAAAAAATTGGATGCTTTAGGCCTCCGGGACCACAAATGTAGAAATGCCGTCCCCCCATATGAAACGATTTTCCAAACCTCTTAGATACAACCCGACCATTGGATTGGATGTGAAATTAGGTGGTTGTAATTATCCTATTGACCAATCTCAAATTTCAAAAGAAATTTTCTGCAACTTTGTGACACATCCAAGCTATCAAATTTCACATCAAATGATTGTAATGAATTGTGGCCACCTTGTGTCAAAGGCAAATGGTCATTGTATACAATCTTTATTTTTAATAGGAAAATTATTTTATGTACGTTCGATTGCATTTCTACATACGTAGTCCAAATGAATAAAGCATCCATCTTAAAGACAATTGAAACTAACTGTCCAAATGTTTTCTTGATAGAATTATTATTTTTAATTTTTAAAATTTATTTATTTATTCATGTTCATAATCTTCATGCAAAAGATTACATATCATTAAAAATTAAGTCAAAAAATTCATCTGAAAAATATATTTATTAAGGTGCCTGCATTTCTGCTAGGCCCACATACTAACCACGTTGATGTAGGGAGAATATAAAAATGGAACAATAAAAATCAAATAAAATAATCATTGAGAAAATATACTTCTCTTAAAGTTTGCAAGGGAATTCACCCCAAAAAGATTTTATCATAAGATCAAATTTAATCAACTCTCATTTGATCATTTATCTTATCATTTACAATGAAGGGATATCTCCCTTTAAATAGACTTCCAAACAAATAACTAAATAATCACGTACACAAATTTTTCCCATCTCTCACTTCATCTCCCTATTTTATCTCTACTGTTAGTTTTAAAAGATTTGCTTCCAAAAGATAACCCACCTCCATGCCTATACTCTCTTAACCTCAAATGCCATCCTCTCAACGTTTGATAAATCCAAAACATACCTTCCCATATTTTTCTTATATTCAAATCCCCTTAAATCTCTCACTAAATATATTTAGACCCCTTTAAATCTCCCACTAAATCTCCCAATTAACCATACTCACCCAAAAAAAAATTTATCCCTCCTCCTACTTAACTTTATCCTTTTATGGGCTATTTTTCTATTCCTAATTAAAAATAAAAAATAAATAAACTCTAATTTTTATTTGCATCATTCTACTCTGGGAGAAGCTCGGCTTCGAGTTTGATTCAAAGCGGATCCTGCAGCAAGGTCCACTTCTTTAGTCAAGTGTACATCCATCCTCTTTTTTGGACATTCAAATGCACAGTGCCCTGGCTCGTTGCATCGATAACAAGTGAACTTTGCAATATCCATTTTCTTGTCATTAAATTTTGGTTGGCACGAAGCTTATTTCTGAGTGTAAAATCACTTATCGTTGTGCTCTTGAAATTTAGTTTCTACTCATAAAGCAATTTGAAAAGCTTCGCTTAAAGTTCAACGTCAATGTAGAAAAATGTCATCCTTAATGGTTGGTTAAAGGTCATTTACATATCGAGTAAACTTTTGTCCTTCTGTTTCTTGGAGGTTGTTTCGAACAATTAATCGATAAAACTATCTAGTATAATCTTACACTTTTTTCTTATTTTGTCGAAGATTTTCGAGCTCTTGAGAGAAAATTTGCTCTGGAGAAAAAAAAATTTCAATTTATTTTTCATCTTTTGTCAGTCAGTAATTTTTCTTTTTTCACTACGAAGTCGAACTCCCACCAGAGAGCAGCATACCCATGGACGTTGGTAACAACAAGTTGAACCTTACATTCCTCTGGCAATTAACTCCATTCAAAATAATTCTCAACTGCACTTAGCCAATCAATAAAAGCTTCAATGTGGATGTTACCATGAAATTTCAGGAGATCAATTTTAATATCGAAATCTCATGGTTGCTCTACAAGATGCGGATCTCATATGCAAATTTCTTCTTGACGTTCTGGATCAATAGCTCGAGTCAATCGCAAAACTTGTTTTGTCTCTACAATGAGATTTGGCACCAAGTTAGCATTGCCCTTTTTTATGAATGATGTCCTCCAATCGTTATAACCACTTATTAGTTTCATTTATTTCTTGTCGAATACACTCCAATATTGTATTCAAGCTCTCTTGAATTTGCCAACCCATATAATCCATGGGTTGCTTCAATATATCCTCGAACGTAAGAGTGGGTTTCATCGACATCTATTGGATCTTTGGATCTCACTTACTTTGATACCAACTGATGCATGGAGAAAATAACAATGGAACAATAAACATAAAATAAAAAAAAATCGCTGAGAGAATCTATCATCTCTCAACGTTTAAAACAGAATCTACCCAAAAAAAAGTTTGTTTCTAAGGGAATCCCCCAAAAAATTTTATCGCAATATCAACTTTATTCAACTTTCATTCTCTTATCATCGTTTACAATAAAAGGATATCTCCCTTTAAATAGAGTTCAAAACGAACAGCCTAAAAAAACCTCTCTCTCTCACGTCCACAAACTTTTCCATCTTCCTCTTCATCTCCTTATGTTCTCTCTATTTTTTGTCTTAAAAGATTTGCTTCCAAAATAACCCACCTCTATCTCTATATTCTCTCTCTTAACCTCACCTATCATACCAATTTTTCAAGCCCTCAACCTTTAATAAATCCAAAACATACATTCTCATATTTAAATCCCATATATTTATCATATTTAAATTCCCTTAAGTCTCTCACTAAATTTATTTAAATTCCCCTTAAATCTCTCACTAAATTTATTTAAATTTCCCTTAAATCTCTCACTAAATTTATTTAAATATCCCTTAAATCTCTCATTAAATCTCCTATTTAACAATACTTATCAAAAAAATCCTCCCTCCTCTCATGTAACTTTATCCTTATTATAGCTCTCTTTCTATTATTAATTAAATAATAATAATAATAATAATAACAAACTTTGATTTTTATTTACATCACATGACCTTCTTAATATTTTACCCTTAATTTAATTATTGTTTTTTTTTTTGCCCCCACGAAGTCAAAAAGTTGCACTTTTTAATGATAAACTAGCCCTTTCAGTACACGTACCGACCATATTTGTCAACTCACGTGGTACACATCTCGAAGAAAAATAAGACTATTTCACAAAATTTACCACAAAAATTTGCTAAAAATGAGCAATTGTCGGACCGGAAGAATATGGCCAAAAATTTGATCCGAAAGAAACCTTTGTCGGACCAACCATCAGTCATCAAAACCTAGACTATGCTCCTACACATTTTTCTGCTGGACTGCTTTTTTCCATGTTCTTCTTGCCTGGCATAAAACCATGGCAAAAAACAATGGAAAAATGCGGTTCATCACACATAAGTCATACCAAAAGAGGCTTCTAGAATTCGAAGCCATAAGTCAGACCAAAAAATGCGGACCGGAGAGGCATATGAAATTCAAAGCCAAAAGCCAAACCAAAAGAGGTAGTCTCTTGTCCCCCATCTAGTGGTGAATCTGCTCCTGAGTTGTTGCTCTGCTGTGTCTAGCCTGTCCTCTAGGTACCTTGGAAGGCAGGGAGTGTGACAACATACACGGTTCCCCTACCCTTCTCATCAGTTGCAGGGTTTGGTGGCCCAAAATTGACTTGGCTTTGCCAAAAGCCTCATCTTTAAAAGCCCGAAGAGTTTCCCTTGAGGAAAGATTTCTCTTTGATCGACCAAGCCGAAAGACAGATCTCATCACAACACATGCCTTCCCTAAACTATCTATAAATTGAAACTGGAAGAAGGAATTCTTGCTCAACGCACTACTAGCTTTGAGTTCCGACTTCAAAGCTCTTATCAGTTCAAAACCTAAAGACAAAGCGCATCATTGGTTTCAACTATCGCCTTTATTGTGTACTAATACGCTTGCTTACTATAACCCCAAAGAAATCAAACAGTACTTGTTACAACTCCACTCCCGAAAATATAGTTTTGATTCTGATCCATCAGCATCCACTATCGGAAGGAATTGGCTCACTTATCGTCTGCTACTCCAAACCCAGAAACAAATACTTTCTTTCTCTCATACCCTTGACCTTAAGCCCTGTAAAGATGGAATGTTTCCCTTGCCCTACCGCTCTCATTGCCCCGTAAAGACTCTATTTCTGCAGCCGCCTTCTCTTTCAATATAGGCAATCCGCTCTCCTATGGTTACTTAAAGTGTGCCGGACCGCACTTTCCTCTTTTCATCTAAGGGGAGACCAATTCCTTCCTGAACTAATTCGGGCCGGGTTGATTCTCAATATAGATCGCCAAATTTTCAAGCACTAACTAAATGTAATTGTGGAACATCAAGGCACACAGTGTAGCATAGGTTAGCTTGTTGACACATGCCTTATTACTTTATACACACCATGCTTTCTGAAGCCTTAACTACAGAATGACCAAATCTTATAAGGGGAAACTTTTTTAAAATGCATCTAATTTATCAACTATTAAACAGAAAGCCCATTAAAATACAAATGAACATGAGTTTAAATAATTAAAAATGAGTAAAATGTTAATAGTTGATACTTGATAAGTTTAGTGTATTTTTATTAGTTCCCCATTTAAGAACTAATCCGGATAAGTTAGAGTAGAGGGACTATACTAGGAAATTTTAAGGCAAAAACCATGATCAATCATTCTTCTTTTGATAAATAAGTTTTTATATACTTTTAGTCAAATTACAAATTGGAAAACATGCTGTAGTATAAAAAGAAATGGCAGGAATTAGAGCAGCGAGAGTGATGTTTTTTGGGTAATTGTTGCAGGAAATTACCAGAGTAATAAAGACATAACAGTAGTTGTATTAGAAGATAAGATTTGGATCTATAATGTGCATTCAATTACATGACTCAATAGTATTTTAAAGGTAATATAGTTTATTTAGTGCAAGTTGTTCACAAGCTTCTCTAGTCATTTGTTGTGAAACTGAATGTGTGTAATTTCTCTCTGCA